TTGCGTGTGTGTGTTATTTTTGTGAGTGTGTGTGTTTGGATATCGTTTTGTATCATTGTAATCGAGTGGAATAGTAAGAAAAACTCCAGACCACCACCGTAGAGTGGTGGTTGCCGCCTCCTGCCGCCGTGTCGGGTGGCGGTGTGCTTTGATTGCGTTTGGACCTCATTTGGGGGATGTTTGGACAATGTGGGATCAATGGAACCCTAATGGGCCCAATAAGGTCCAATGTGACCTAAAAGCCCAACCAATGGACTAATGGGCTAGTATTGGGTTGGAAAACCCTAATTAGGGTTTGGAAAACCCTAAGGGCATAAAACCTTAATTGTGGCAATTGTTTGGGACACACACGAGAATTAATTATTAAACCTAAATAATAATTAACAATTATTGGCAAACTAGCTTAAGGCAATAATGGACTTAATGGATTAAGTCCTTAACGAATTAAGTCCTTAAGGGGTTAAGTAAGAAACACTTAACCCTAATCATCATTTCATGTGAAAGCCCTAATCTTACTCGGGCCTTCCTATTGGGCTTTGGCGATTGGACTATTGATGGGCCAGCCAAGAACAAGTTGATGGACCAGAGTAATTAGATGGGCTTTAGGATAAGGCCCATGTGAGGACTTGGGCCCAATTTGGAAAATTGGGCCATAGATGGGTCATAAGTGGGCCTTTATGATTATGTGATAATGGTCCATGGGAATTGGATTGGAATAATTGGGTGGGCCTTAAGGAAAGACCATGTAGAGGTTTGGGCCCAATTTGGAAAATTGGGCCATATGTTGGGCTTTGGCCCATTATTTTACTTTTGGGCTTTTATAGTGTGAGTTGGACCTTGGGCTTGGAACCCAATTATTAACTGGGTATTGTTTGATGTTGACAGTTCGGGAATCTGTCAACCAGCAGCGGGAGCTTTACCTGCGGGACTTCAGCAGTGCCAGGTGAGTTATCCTCACTATACTAAGGTGTCTAAGGCACCAAGGCCGACCCATTGGATATGTTATCCTAGCAGTGGTTATGTTGAGTATGAGTTAGTGTTGCATGCTAGTGGTTATGCCAGTTAGGTAGATCTTTAGGACTACCTATGCTGTTATATGAATATATGCATGCTCAGTAGTTATGTTATATGTTGATATGTTATGTGGGATGGGTTGAGGTGATACTGCTCCATGCGGTAACCAACAAACCCTGGAGTATTCCAGATACGGGCTAAGGGAGACTCGTACTGTGGGCTCGATGGCAATCCAGATGTGAGCTGTGGGCCCGCAAGGTAATCCAGACTTACACTGTGGGCCCAGGGGAAATCTAGTAGGTGGAGCATTCCAGATACGAGCTGAGGGAGACTCGTACTGTGGGCTTGATGGCAATCCAGATGTGAGCTGTGGGCCCGGTAGGCAATCTAGACTCATATTGTGGGCCCAGGGGTAATCCAGTCTGTAAAGCTGTGGACCCATTATATGTTTTTCAGTTTGTTATGTTATGATATGGTTTATATTGCTATGTGGACTGTATGTGTATCGGTATTTTGGGGGTAACTCACTAAGCTTTCGGGCTTATAGTTTCAGTTTATTGTTTCAGGTGCATCAGGGGATCGTGGCAAGGCAAAGGCGTGATCGTACAACTCCTCACTTTTTATGACTATGTTTATGGGATACTCTGATATTAAACTATTTTGAAAACATTTTGTAATGACTAATAGGTTTTGAATTGTTTAAAAAAGTTTTAAATTGGCTTGAATTTTATGGGTGTTACAAAAACTAGGGGGCCTGAGAAACGCCAAAACATGCACTCCGTCAGATTAGTATGGTTATAATGACTCACTAGAATATGTTATGTTATCTAGAAATTTTTGCATGAAAAAACCTCATAAATAAATTTTGTCACGTTGTGTTGACTGTCCTACACATGATAGGTGATGGTCCGCATTTGTTGCGTCGACTGTCCTTTTGCATCGCGTAGAATGTCCACAATTGCCATGTTGATTCTTTCTTCTAACAAGTATAGAGTCGTAATACTGCTATTTTACAAATTAAAAAGCATAGGACTCTATGGAAAACGTTTGTAAACGATTTTGAAAACGAATAACTAACCTACACATATACACAGTCGGAAATAAAACTTACGAATATTTTATAGCAGAAAATATAGGATTTTCTGGACAAAACGATTTTCTAAGATTTCGATAATGATAAACTAGAACGCACACTCAATTTTACTCGATAAGAGGAACAAGATTTTCAACCATATTCTCTTTTTGAAAATAAGGGATTTTCTGGAAACGGTTGACTATTACTATTCAAAAGAACTATTCTCGAACACAACTCGCCTTTATAAATTTCACTACTTTTCAAAATCATTCCTTATAAGGATGAACAAAAGTAATGACATGCACACATATGTCCATGATTTTCAAAGCAAGGCTTCAAACGATTTCATAGAAAATATCGGATTTTCTGAACGTACAATGAGAACGATTCTAAACAAGTGTAAACGATTTTATACAAAAATGTTTATGAACTCACCAACTTTTTAGTTGACGCTTTTCAAAACGACTTGTATTCTCAGGGATCTAGTAAGCAGGTAACAAGGGACGCGGATGCAGGACTATTTAGCTGTAGTTTGGATTTTTCTGCTTTTGTCTCTTTTGTGTAATTCGAAGGACAAAGACAATATGTAAACAATGTAAGTTTGTTATCTCAATGTATGATGTTTGGATTTCTCTGTTTCATTTATATTCAATTGTTATGATACTGCACAATGAAGTCACCCGTCTCCGGACGTTTCCGCCGTCTGTCCGGGGATGTGACATTTTTCTTAAATCCCCAAAAATCAACACAAAAAGGCTTAGAAAGCAAAAATGGAGGTTATGGTTTGCTTGGAGGCTGAGAGAGTGTGATGGAGATTGAGGGTGAGCAGCCCTAGCCCTCACATTCCCTTAAATACGACGTAAACCCCGAAAATTAGGTTTTCTCATTAAACAGCTGCCACGTCGTGGCGGCCATTTAAAACCCGCGATACAACGACCATTGCCACGTCGCAGGATTCCTTCACCACGACGTGGCACTGTCCAAAATTAAAAAATATAATAAATTGTAATAAATTATAATACCTCCAAGAATCTGAATGTTACAAATACCTAATTCTATGTGTTATATATACACTAAATTAGGATAGTGTTGCCTAAACAAAGTTGGTATTAGATATTGATTATAAGCATGGTAGTCTTGCCTAGTGACGAGATAAGACTTATAAAGGATGCTTAGTTCAAATTAAGTTGAAAGAGTACTTAGCTATATCATGTACTATAAAGATATAACATTGGCAGGAAATTGATGTGGATTACAAGGATGAGAATCTTGTTATACACCTAAAATGGATGCTTAGTTCAATTATGTTTGGATATTGGGTAACATCATATTAAGGGTATGTGTGTAACGTCCTGAATTTCAAAGGAAAATTTTTCATTTTTACTTATTAAGAATATAAGTCTTACAAAACATTGCAATTTATTATTATATAAAAGAGTATCTTAGCGGAAGTCTATAAAATTTTATTGATGCTTCGATGCCGATACAGTCATGCGTGAGCCTTTCCAAGGTCAGATGAACAACCTGTAAAGCAGTTATCAATAACTATAAGTTGAGGCTTAGTGAATTCCCTCAAAATATTTCATACCACAGCACATATACAATGCATACACATAATGGCCTTCAACATATAGTTGGTCCGCCCTATATTTGCCTACAACATATACCATACCGCACCTTGGCCTTTAGCATAAAGCTAGTCCGCCCGAGTTTATTGGCCTTCAGCTCGAGGTTGGTCCGCCCTCAACTCCATATATAATAACATACACATATGACAACAGTCCACATAACATGCAACTAATTATCCTAGTCTAATTGCCGAAGTGCATACTACATGGTAGCTATATCCTAACATACTGAGGATGCATACTGGAGTATACAATATAGTGAACAGAACTCACCTTGACATATTCTCAGAGGATTAACAGTCAACCGGACAGTTTCGCTAACGACCAACACTTTAACGAGGATTAACATATATTACTACAGTTTATTAGTTTAAGGGGAATATGTAATGTAGGTTTGACCTAATACTAATCCCAATGAATATCGATAGTTCTATCAAATAAGGATCGGCCGTGTCGGACAATTGGGAGGCATGATCATTTCGGCATATAACTTTTCTAAAATCCAAAAACCAAGCTAACGTAACCATTTTAGACACCTCTCCCATAAGTAGATCAATCGACATTATAAACTGGAATTACTTATAAATTTGTGCGTGTGTATATATATATATATATATATATATATATATATATATATATATATATATAACAACGACAACGAACATAAATATAGTTATACTTAGGATAGAAAGCGTAGCTTACCTAAAGAGTGTTTTAGTCAAGATTGCAAAAATGGTCCCTGTGGTATACATTTTTTCCGGGTTTTAATCCAAACGTTGACTTTTTTGGCTTCGTGGTCAATTTGAGCTAGTTTGTTTGTGGTTTTGGTCCCTCGTAAAACTAAAAAGACTAAGATGCCCTTCAAATATACTTTGTATATTTTTTCTATGTAATTCAATGTTTTATTAATAATAAACATGGCCCTACCTGTCTCCCTCTCTCTCTCTCTCACTCTCTCTCGCTCTCTCCCTCATGCAACCTTAAAATCTACTAAGACATCCAAGAAATATATTTATGGAATAATGGGAACACACACGCATACACACACCCGCAAATCGATGATGAACACATAAATACACACTTCATAATCGAGTTGCAAGTATATGTGTGAGTGTGTGTTCTTCTCTTTTATCCATGTAAAAGATCTTGAAATCGAAAATTGACAACCCTTACAAAACCCATAATGGCGAACATGGGTGACAGTGTAAGGAGGCGGTGTTGATATGGTAGCAGCAGTGGTTAATTGGTGGTTAAAGGGTCATCAATGAAGCTATCGGGTGGCAATGGTGTTGTACGTCTGGGGCAACAAAGAAACAAGTAGGAGGGTGGTATTCCGAGGTGGGATCGATGATGATGATGATGCTCACAGAGGTTCAACAACCATCAGTGGTGGGAAAGAACCAATCACCAATGTTTGCCTCCATGGTGGAGCACTCATTGTTCTCAAAGTACTTTTATTACTCTGTCTACATGCTGGCAGATTCTTATGAGTTCGCGAAGGATTTTGGAGAGGTTGTTGTTGTCGATTCCAGTGAATCTGAGGATTACGACAACACTCTAGTATTTGGGCCTCATCGAGCGTTTTTTGTGTAAGGTAATCGATTCTTGAATTTAGTAATTGCTTCAGACCACCACCAACTCACCGTGTATATAGCAAATGGATGCTCTGCCCACTATGTCTACCGATAGCAGAGAAAAACTCCTCAGGATGACTCCGATTTACAGAATGAATCTATCGATGAATAGAGATATCTTTAGAAGGGGAAATGACACCAGGGGAATAAGGTGAGGGAAAGGTGAGTAGTTAGGTTTGGAGAGAGAGAGAGAGAGAGAGAGAGAGAGAGAGAGAGAGAGAGAGAGAGAGAGAGAGAGAGAGAGAGAGAGAGAGAGAGAGAGAGAGAGAGAGAGTCCTATATTTATTTATTAATAAAACATTTAATTAAATAGAAAAAATTTTAAAAAGAATGTATCAGGAGGGCATTTCAGTCTTTTCAATTTTCCAAGGGACTAAAACCACAAACAAATTAGCTAATAAAGATCACCAATCTAAAAAATCGAGGTTTGAAGCAAATTTCGGGAAAAATACATACCATAGGGACAATTTTTGTACTTTTGTATTTTTATTATTTTGAGACAATCATCTGTACTAAAAAAATTGTAATGTACTGAGAGTTTCGACAATAAAATATATTATGATTTTTAAAGCGTAATTTTTTTCGGTTCTGAAAAATAAGGAATGTTACAATCTTCACTGTGTCGTGTTTGATTTTCAGTATGTGTGTTTAAATTTTTAGTGTACGTATGATTTGAGTTGTATGTGAATATAAAGGGGTAAGGAAGAAGACGAGGTGTATAAGAGTGAGGTAGGGTTAACAATAATGGTGCCTTATATATATATATATATATATATATATATATATATATATATATATATTATATATATATATATATATTTTGTGTATTTTGGGATGAGAAAAATGAATGGAATGATCCTATTTTATTTCTTGGTAATATATATATATATATATATATATATATATATATATATATATATATCTATATATCTATATATATATCTATATAGGTTCATGCAAAAATATATATATATCTTGCGAAAATGCGAGAATCAATCAGAATTGGACACATGGATATGATAATTAATATTATTTTCTAATAATTAAAGGGTGTAAATGTAAAAATAAGGGCAGGAATGTAATTATATATTTTTGATTGTATGCATCAGTAAACGTGGATAATGCAATTTGAATTTTGAATTCAATTGGTAACTTCTTACCCAACGTAGTGGATCAAATTAGTTTTTCATGTGTAAACCTTCGGTGGACAGAACCGAGAATAGATCAACATCAGTTTTTTTTTTCGATGTTTGCGTTTAAAGCGATATTGGATGTTCGTTCAAATAGAAAAAAGTTTAATTTGCAAAGGAAAAAAAGAAGAAGATATTGCGTACGGAAGTAGAAGGAAACATGAATCGGAATTGGAATTGTGCTGATAATCCGATTGAAATTGAAGATGATGAAGATTGTGCAGTTGAAGATTTTATACAGGAAAAAAAATCGATGGAGGTTCATATGTGTATCCATATTCATCATAATACAATCATTGAAAACTTGCATTCATCATAATCGATTCATGTAGTTCCTGTTATTTTGTTCCAGATTTGAAGAATTCAATTGAGATACATTCCAGTAAATCATGGAAGATTAAGAAAGATCCCGAAGAATTGGCAGATGACGTTATTTCAAGTGATGATGTACTTAGCAATGGGAAAAAAATCAATGAAGGTAGCTGTTTTTTGAATTGTCGTTTCTTTCAGTAAATAGTCCAATCTTTCGTTGATTTTCTCCTTTTTTTTATTGTATCAGATGTGAAGAAGGCAATTGAGATTCATTCTAGTAATTCTTTGAAGCTTAAGAAAGAAATAATTGATGATGTACTTCGCAAGGGGAAAAAAATCGATGATGATGCAGGCAAGTATTTAATGTATTATATGATTAAATTTCACATATTTATAAAGGGTATCGATGTCAATTAAAAAAAATTTCAATCCGAGTGTATTTGATTTGATAACCGTTAGTTTGTTTAACTTTAATTCATCTTCCGTGAATCAAAATCAAACATTAATAGGGTGTTTTAATGCAAAAAAATTGCGTACTTATATGAATTGAATGTTCAATTAAAGAACATATTGATGAATACATACTTTGAAATTGGAATAACAGAGCGTAAAAAAAAACCAGTAAATAATCCAATCGTTCATTGATTTTTTCCTTTTTTTTATTTTATTGTAGCAGATGTGAAGAAGGCAATTGAGATTCATTCTAGTATTAGATGTGGAAATTCAAAGGAAAAGAGGTTATGTAAGTTTTGCAAAAGTTTGGTTTTCACGAATGATTAATATCTTTGAAATTGTTTTTGATTATGTTTATTTTATTGTAATAAATTTATAAATCGTTGTAAAAGGTTATGCATCCTACCTAATAAATGAAGGTTTTTTGTTTATTTTTGTTTATATGAACATTTAATTTATTCCTCTTATCTTTTCCATGCTTTTGTTGCAATGCATATGTGTTGTTTGATTAAATGCCTCAAAGAAGTTCATTTTTTAAGTTATTTTGAATATTTGATTTCGTTAGAATAAGGTTGTTTGGTCATGTTTTTTATATTGTTTTTGTTAACTAATTGCGTTGAGTAATGGATGTTATGTTATCGGACATGAAAGGATGTAGTTTATTATTTAATTGTTGTAAACAATGCAGGGGCAAATTTGTCATGTTGTATTTGTTTTTTAACATAAATGTATGATGTAGACGCAAAATGACAAAATTGTAATTTTTTCATGTATTTTATTAAATTTATAGCAAATTGACTAAAATACGATTCCGTCCTTTTTCAAAATTATATTGCTTTTTTATTTCCATTTAAAGGGATTTATACATAAATGAAAGAAAAGGAATGAAAGTTTTGTAAATTTACCTTAACATAAAAAAATTCTGAAAAAAAAACCAAAAAAACAAAAACTGAATAATTAAAGTACCTTGCACTTTTTGTTATTGGAATTAGAAAAAAATTTAAAAAAAAATCAACTCTGTATAAAAAATATAATGCAAGGGCAAAATAGACAAAATTACCCTTTTTCAATGTATTCTATTTATTTTATAGGAAATTGACAAAAAAAAACTTAATTTTAAAAATTAAAAAAAATTAAAAAAAGGTATGAACATAAAAGTATGATGCAGGGACAAAATGACCAAATTGGCATTTTAAAAAACTGAATAAAAAAAAGTTAAAAAAATTTAAAATATGTATGATAAATATAGGAAAAAGTTGTATTCGTTTTTGAACATAAAAGTATGATGCAGAGGCAAAATGACCAAATTGGAATTTTTTTCATTTATTCTATTAAATCTATAGAAAATTGACAAAAGTACGATTATGAAAAAAACCAAAACAAAAAAAGCAATGTACTTTTGTAAAAGGGTGTAATCGTCCTATATTTATCATACATTTATGTTATACAAAGTTTTATATTTTTCATTTTTATCACTTTTTTTTATTCATTTTTGAATAAAAAAAAATAGTGACTAATAAAAGTACATTGCCCTTTTTTCCCTTGAAGTTAGAAGGAAATGAAAATTATACAGCTTTGTTTAACATTTATTTTTTTTCATTTAAAGGGATTTATACATAAATGAAAGAAAATTATTGGAAGATTTGTAAATTTACCTTAACATAAAGAAATTCTGAAAAAAACCAAAAAAAAAGTTGAAAAAAAATACTTTGCCCTTTTTTTTTCCTTGAAGTTAGAAAAATATGAAAAAAATACAACTTTGTATAATATAAAAGTATGATAAATAAAGGACTATTACACCCTTTTACAAAATTGCTTTTTAGGACGAATACGCCCTTTTACCTTAATATAAACAATATCTGAAAATAACTAAAAAAAAATTGAAAAAAAACAAAAACAAAATAACAAAATTACATTGTCCTTCGTATAAAATAAAATTATGATAAATATATGAAAAAAAACTTTATGGTGTAAGAGTTTTACAATATAAAAGTATGATGCAGGGTCAAAATGGACCAAATTGACCTTTATGTCATGTTTTCTTTTAAATTTATAGCAAATTGACGATGACGCCCTTTTAGAAAAGTATATTGCTTTTTAGGACGATTACACCCTTTTACCTTAACATAAATAAATTCTGAAGAAAAAATTAAAAAAAAATGAAAAAAAACAAAAACAAAATAACAAAAGTACATTGCCCTTTTTTTCGTTAGAGTTATAAAAGAACGAAAAAAATTATACTTTGTAAGAGTTTTACAACATAAAAGTGTGATGAATGTGCAAAATGGACCAAATTGCCCTTTTGTCATGTATTCTATTAAATATATAGAAAATTGATGATTTCGTCCTTTTACAAAAGTACATTGCCTATTTTGCATTTTAAGGGATTTATACATAAATGAAATATGGACCAACATAAAACAAAAATGAATATAAAAAAATAGTAACTAACGAAAGTACATTGGCATTTAAAGGGATTTTTATAAATTTACCTTAACTAATTTTTTTTTGAAAAAAACCAAAAAAAAAAAAATGAGAAAATAGAAAAATAAATGAAAAATATAAAATTTCGTATAACATAAATGTATGATAAATAAAGGACGATTACGCCCTTTTACAAAAGTACATTGCTTTTTTTCATTTTTTTTTTGGAATTTTTCAGAAATTATTTATGTTACGGTAAAAGGGTGTAATCGTCCTAAAAAGCAATATACTTTTCTCAAAGGGCTTCATCATCAATTTGCTATCAATTTAATAGAATACATGACATAAAGGGCATTTTGGTCCATGTTGACCTTGCATCATACTTTTATGTTATACGAAGGGCAATTTGTGAACAGATAACTTTTGTAAAAGGGCATAATCGTACTTTATTTACCATACTTTTATATTATACCGAGTTGTATTTTTTTTCATTTTTTCTTAACTTCAAGGAAAAAAAAGGGCAATATACTTTTTTTCAAATTTTTTTTTTGTTTTTTTTTTGAATTTCTTTATGTTAAGGTAAAACTCTTGGTTTTTTTTTTTCTGAATTTATCATACTTTTATGTTGTAAAACTCTTACAACATAATTTTTTTTCCTTATATTTATCATACTTTTATGTTATACAAAGTTGATTTTTTTTCATTCTTTTATAACTCCAACAACAAAAAGGATATTAAGCTTTCGTTATTTTACTTTTTATTATTTTCATTTATGTATAAATTCCTTTAAATGCAAAATAAGCAATGTACTTTTATAAAAGGGCGAAATCGTCAATTTACTATAAATTTAATAAAATACTACATGACAAAAAGGACATTTGCACTTTTTTTTAATCATACTTTTATGTTATACAAATATGTTTTTTTTAATGATTTTCAACTTTTTTTCTTAATTTTTGTTTATTTTGTTTTTTTTTTTTGTTAATTTGATATAAAATTAATAGAATACATGTAAAAAGGGCAATTTGGTCCATTTTGCCACTGCATTGTACTTTTATGTTGGAAAACTCTTACAACATAAAGGTTTTTTTTTTCTTTTTTTAATACAAAGTTGATTTTTTTTTTCATTTTTTTTCATTTTGTCCAATTCTGATTGGTTTTTGCATTTTGGCAAGATTTATACATTTTCAGAAATTCTTTATATAAAGTTGAATTTTCAAAACTTCCATTGTTTTTCTTTCATTTATGTATAAATCCCTTTAAATGGAAAAAAAATCAATGTAGTTTTGTAAAAGGGCGGAATCGTACTTTTGTCAATTTGCTATAAATTTAATAAAATACATGAAAAAATTTACAATTTGGTCATTTTGCCCCTGCATCATACTTTTATGTTCAAAAAGGCATACAACATTAAGATTTTTTTTTTCATATATTTATCATACATTTATTATTCAGTTTTTTTTCTTTCATTTATGTATAAATCCATTAAAATGCCAAAAGGTTGTAATCGTCCTTTTTTTATTCATTTTTGTTTATTTTTTTCTTTTTGTCAATTTGTTATAAAGTTAATAGAATACTTGGAAAAAAGGGCAATTTGGTCCATTTTGCCCCAGCATCATACTTTTATCTTGGAAAACTATTACAACCGTTATGTGTATTTCATTGTGGTGTATGTTATATCCCTGGTGTCACTTGCTGAAATTGAATAATTTATTATAAATAAAAACAATTGTTTTATATTAATTGAGTCTTTGACATTAAACACTTCAAAATCAAAAGAGTTTGTTTGTTCAAATTTCTATTAAAATATTATTCTTTTATACAATTTATGTATTTATAATATGCCTGTTCATAACTGATGACGTTTATTGTATGAAACCAAGTACCACAATTTCATCCATGTATCTCTTATACATCACTACACACATGATAAACCTTTTCTTTTCTTATACAAAGTTGTATTTTTTTCAGAAATTGGTTCTGATAAGATAACCTTTTGTATTTTTATAGAAGGGCATAATTGTCCTTTGGTAACAGAAATGTCAATTTGGTAACATAATAAACCAACAATGTAATACATTCAAATATATAATACTAAAACTATATAATTAAACAAATATATTCAAAGATTATAATTTAGCATAAGTCTACATAAGAAAATCATAATATAAAGTTCTCTACTGATGTTTTTTCAAAGGCATAAGCAATTTGGATGGGTTGATGGGGCAGTTTCTTTAATCATGATTGACAATGTTTAAAGTAGAAGCTTTCATAATAAGTTCTTGATCAGAAATTGTGAGCTTGTGGCTTTTACTACAAATGCTTTCTTGATCAAATCTTTTGCAACATTTGGATGATATAAATCGTCTCCATCAGGATAAATTTGTTCTGTTTATATATGAAATTTGTAGTTATTCTAATGAAAATTTAATAACTTAATATGAAGGTTGAATACCTGCCTGAATCATTTGTGTTTAATGTTGCTGATTGATCACTTGAACAAATATTGAAAGATTCTGTTGGATCAATGCTGAAATCAATTGATGATTGCATTTCTTTTGCAGCAGTTGGAAGATAAAAGTCGACTCCATCTCCATAAAAAATTTCTGCCAAAAAAATTTATGCAAACTTATTATCATTAATATATAATCATATAATAATACAATCATTGAATACTTGCATTCATCATAATGATTCATGTAGTTCCTGTTAGTAGAAATTCAGAATTATTGTAATCAGACTTATTTGAAACTGTATTTTTGGAACAATTTATTTTTTTACGCTCTGTTATTCCAATTTCAAAGTATGTATTCATCAATATGTTCTTTAATTGAACATTCAATTCATATAAGTATGTAGTTTTTTTTTTTTGCATTAAAACACCCTATTAATGTTTGATTTTGATTCACGGAAGATGAATTAAAGTTAAAGAAACTAACGGTTATCAAATCAAATACACTCGGATTGAATTTTTTTTAATTGACATCGATACCCTTTATAAATATGTGAAATTTAATCATATAATACATTGAATACTTGCCTGCATCATCATCGTTTAATGAACATCCCGATTTTCCAATTCCATAGTTATGGTAATCAGTTGTTGTCGATGTAAGATTATGTTCTTGAATATTTATCTTTTTACTTTCACTAATATTTTTTCAGAATAAAATATCGATACATCAAGTTTTTGATTAATTGAATAGTCGAATCATGAAGATGTTGGTTATTAGCCATCTTAACCGTTAATATGTTTGCAGTTTCTTAATATGTAGTTATTAGTATGCAGACATTGAAAACGTGGATTGCAAATTTATTTAATTGACATCTATACCCTTTATATATATATATATATATATATATATATATATATATATATATATATAAAAAGAGAAAAATATATAACAATCATTCCAAGATTTGTATGAACAAAATGTATAAAAAATTTCTTGTTTTGAATATGTGGTGTAGGTTAAATTTAAAGATTATAGAAGTGGAGGTACTAATGCTATCATAGTGGCTAAGTTAAGGGAGCTATGTTTTGTGGCAATGTCCAAGGTTTCCATGTACGTTTCTTGGGGAAGAAGTAGACTTCCTCGGTCCCACAAAAATTAAAACACATTTCCTATTTTCTCCCATCAAATTTTTGGGCTTTGTGTTCGACAAAAATTAGGTTCGGATTTAGGTTTGGTAAAAGGTCCGTTACTTGTCCAATGTTTAATAGCAATAATTTAATATTAATGTTTAATCTAAATTATGAACTTTTGATTATTTTGAAAAAAACGAATGTAAAAAGATTATCTAAAATTGTCACACAACTTTCCCGATTCGTTTAACATTTTTTTGTGTATAAATTTCATTAAAATATACAAGTTTTACTTAAAAAGACAAAAAGTTGTGCTGCTAACATTTTTTGAATGACAAAACTATTTTTTTAAAAAACAATATCCATAAATTTTTTACATTAAAGATAAAAATTTAGATTTAAAAACACATTTTTTTTCTCAAAAGTTTACTCTTTTGTAAAAAAAATTCTATTAGTTTTGCTAGATTATTAAAATATGTTATGAGCTATAAAATATTTTTAATGAATTGTCCTAAATAAGTTGTTATATATAATTTACATAAAAGTTGTAAAACAAGTTTTGGGAAGAAAAAATTATTTTAATAGGTTGCCTAACAATTCAGTGGTTGAGCATATAATCGATTGAGAAGATAAAATTTTCTAATTGATAACTTTGTATATAAAAAAATTAAGATCTTAATTAGATACATAAATAAAAAAATGTAGACATGGGTACTAGTTTTTTATTATTAAACATTCATACAATTAGTATACTGTGAGATATTGGGTCCAAATTTTGATTATTATTAGGTGTTATTAACTATTTATATTAATGAAATGATTAAAATAAAAGAAAAAAATATTTATATATATTGTATGAAAAGAAAAATAAAATAAAATTGCACCGTTCTAAAAAACAGATAGGTGTACCCGAACCTGCGGCTCGGTAGACAGACCTCTAGTAACGGATCCAATCTGCAATTTCCCGCTCGTATGTGTCTTTATCCACTCTCACGCGCATTACACAAACAAACGCACACTCTCTCTCCTCCACTACTTAACTTGGTTCAGTAGAGAAAGAAGGGGGGAAATTGCGGTATATTTTCCACCTACATCAAGACTCCGGCGTCTTCATCTCTCAATCCCTAGCTCCATCTGATGTTGAACAATCTTGGCTCGATTTTACCTTCCAAGAATGGCGAAGTAAGTAATTTTTTTTGTCATTGATGATAGAAACCTTCCGATTTCCCGTTTTGGGGGGCTTTTTTATGGCTCTAAAAGACGGACTTCCGATCGTATCTAGGATGTTTTTTCTAGGGTTTAGTCGACCGAATCTTACTCGTTTGAACCCGGATTTGTTCTCTAAGTTTGTATCTATCTGTGTGTGATTATCCATCTTGAATACTTATTACTCAAGTCTCAAGCACACTGTTATCTTCTTATTTGAGTTTGTTCGTAGCCAGCATATGGAAATAGATGTAGAATGTGGGTGTGTGTGTATGTTTGACTTTGGGTATCAGCTACATGCCTACATCTACTTTGCGAGCATTGAGTTACTCTATTTCTAAAAAAGAGAGTACTTTATGAAATCATTCGGCTCTTAAGATATAAGATGCATTTATATAACTTAAGCTTTATGCATGAAGTGGTTTCCTTTTATGATATCAAACAAAGAGGAAACTAGGCACAAGCAATCTGTAAATAAAGGGTTTTGAATTTTTTGATGCATATTTATAGGTTATGATCTCTTAACTGCTTAGGAAAATGATTTCTAGGTATGGTATTTTTATGCATTCTTAATCTAATTAGCGGATACCAAGCATAAGTGAAAATGTAATATCACAGGCCCTTGTTTTATTGATAGTCTTTCATCATTACCTATTTTGCACAATCTTTAGAGAAAGATGATCACTGGTTATTGTACTATTATTCTTTTTAAACAAAAGTTAGGTTTCTTTCCCACTAATGTGATCTACCCTTTGAATACTGTAGAAGTTGGCTTGTTGATGGTAGAAGTATTGCAAGGAAAGTAAAAACTTCTGGTCTTCCTTTAGTCCATCAAATCAAAGACTGTGGAGCAAACAGGGAATGCCCACAATGCCATTACAAGATTGATAACAGCAATGTAAGAATGACTCCTTCCAAATTCTCATATTATAAAAACAACTGAAAAACTTCACCTCATATGCATTTCAATTTGCAGGTGTCAGTTGAGTGGCCTGGGTTTCCTCTTGGTGTTAAATTTGAACCCACTGATGTTGAGCTTCTAGAACATCTTGCAGCCAAATGTGGCTTAGGAAACAAAAAGCCACACCAATTTATTGATGAATTCATCCCCACAATCGATGTAGATGAAGGAATATGCTGCAAACACCCAGAAAATCTTCCTGGTTTGTGACTAATCTTTTATCATTGACATTGACAAGACAAGACCATTGCCTGACTTTGACTTTGACTTTACTTATCTTGTATTCTGATAGGTGCTACAAAAGATGGAAACTCTGTTCATTTCTTTTATAGGAACACAAATGCATATACAACAGGTCAAAGAAAACGTCGCAAGATTAGCAAAGAATCTGGTTTAACGAATGATGTTCGTTGGCATAAAACTGGCAAGACAAAAGCTGTTATACAAAATGGGGTTCAAATTGGATGCAAGAAGATTATGGTTCTTTATGGGACAGCTGGCGGGGGTTCAAAGCCTTATAAATTGAACTGGGTCATGCATCAATACCATTTAGGAACTGTTGAAGATGAAAAAGAGGGGGAGTATGTTGTTTCCAAGATATTTTATCAGCCACAAAAACAGGAAAACCATGAAGATTCAGATGCTTGGATGAGTTTAACAAGTCCAAGAACTCCTAATACTGGTGCCCCTGATCCACCTAGGGCTGGAAAGTCTGTTGCTTGTGATGATGTCACCACTGGTTATGTTCTTGAATCACCACCACAACCACCATTACCACCACAGGTTGATTAGTGTGACCTTGTTTCTGGTGATTAATGTTTTTTATTTTTTATTTTTGAGATAATGCTGACTGTTTTTTATTTGATTTTGGATTAGGAATCAGAGTTGTGTGATGAGCAGAAATACCTTCCTTCATGTTCTAATGCTGAAGGTAAGGAGAATCTGGAGTTACCCATTTGGGAAGATGATTCACAAGCGGTTGATTTAGATGATTTAGATGATTTTGGTGACTCGTTGTTTTGTAAAGAGAATCTTGACATTCATGCCCTTCAATCTTGCTCTAATGTTGATACAAATGTGGGTGCAAGTTCTGGGGTTGGTGATCTTGAGAATCTTGACCTGGGTACTCCGCCAGATTTCAACCTTGCTGTAAGAGTCAACTATCTTTTCTAAATATTATGAAAAGAGACTGATTTTTTAAGAGGAAAATCACATGTTAAGCAACTCCATTGTTGAAATGTATGTGCAGGATTTACAGTTTTCATCACAAGACAGCATTTTTGGCTGGTTAGAGCGGTTATAGGGGATGGAAATGAAGTGGGTTGTTGAGGAATCCCAAAATGAAAGTGATATTTATGTTACTATTTTGGTTGTTTTGTAAAAATCCTGAAAAAATGAAGTTATGATGCTGTGGAGCTCTTTTTTTGAATTAGCTTTGTTTGTCATTTGATGCTGGTAAACAAAGCTTGATGATAAGTTTTGCGAGACTTCTGTTTTGCCATTTGTTGTCCGTGGCTTCTAAGCTCATAATATGTATTTGTATTGTAGAGAAAGTATGTTTTTGTAACTTGCAACTCTTTTGGTTTAATGGCGTTTTTTATATAACGTTTTGTTTTAGCCATTTAGGATTTAAAATTGTGTTCATGGCTTATCATTTTGGGGGTTGTGTCTTTTTGACTTACGCTACCCGGTATGGGCACCATTTCACGCGTAGAAGCTGATGTGGAGGGGGAGTTTCCACTAGTGAATACCGTCCCAAGTTCTAGTGGTTGTCTTGTGGAGTGAGGGTTTTGCACAGCTTTGCTGGAAGGCTTCTCTCTTTCTCTTCTTCCATCACTTTTTTTTCTCTCTTGTTCACTAGTACACCATTTCCACAACCTTGTGAATTGGTCGTTGAGTTAGATGATCATGTGGCTTGCTTTTTCATTTGTGAAGATACCGGGTAGCCTTGATAAAGTTACTGAGTTAGTGATTTGTGACAACCCCACACTGCATTGCGAACACAAGGTCACACATAAAGAACTTGACAATGTCATTACGACATGTGAGCTTCTAACACTTCAAAACAATGGCTAATGGCTAGAAACATTATTTCCACAATAAAACAAATCGAGTGCACACTCCCCCGTGGATAAATAATTGATGGAACCTAGCAAGAATCTGTCACCTTATCTGAACCTCTGTTAATTCCTGCTAAAGATTCTCAATCAACCTCAGTTGACGAAGAACACTACAACAAATCGATTGAAAATAAGCCAATTATTAAAATCCTTAAGTCCCATATATTGTTGACATATGCAACCCCAAAAGGTATTATTCCTACCTTAACAAACTGTAATCCATCTCGGAGTTGTTTTCTTTGCATTCTTTTTCTCATTCTTGCTTTTGACGAAAACCTGAACGAAACCCATACAAAAACATATATTCCCTACTCTAATCAGACTGATCATCACTGCTAATTTTGACAATAGATACCTGATCCATACCGTAAGCTAACCACACTTCCTAAACCCGATAAACAACCTAAGTGGCCCATGCGCTTCCTTTACAAAATACCTGATGCTCCCAAAGGGAACTACTTGCTACAACGAGTTCCTTGCCTAGCAGCTCCCTGCTGTGAAGACAACTCAAGCTTTCTTGAAGACATACACGTGATATCTACCCAAGTAGCACATGCGATCTGAAAAATCCTTGGATTCTTCCCGACACATGAATGAAAATTTTGACTAACACTAAAGAAACAGAACAAGAAAACTTCGCAACCCCAAACACTCCAACAATAGCAGGCTACCCTTCCTGCAACAATAAGACCAAACTAATAATCTCGCATGCTCAAGCCGTAGATTCTTCTGATGCGAAATGCAGAATTCAAAAGTTAAACGATTCCAAGAACCTCTACTCAGAATACTTAGTTCTCCCCCACTTAGGGTTCAAACTACTACTGATTGTCGTCCACAAACCGGAGCCTCGAAACCGACCAACTGATATGAATTAGCCTTGATTTCCAAAGTGCATAAAACGAAAAGGATAAACATTCTGACAATATCATAACTAACCCCAAGGAAACTCTCAATCTCAGATGGAGACCTCAAAACCTCTCACTGCACCGCTACCTCGATCTTGGTCGGGCCAACCAAGATACCATTTTGGTTAACGAGGTATCCAAGAACTGAACTTTGCGCATCCGAAGAATTTGCATACAACATCTCTTTCATTACATCTTCAAGGACCTCTTGCTGATGCTCTAGCAATAACTCTTAATAGACCCGACAAACACTAATTTTATAGCTAACAACTGATGGTTAAATCATACAACTTGCCTACGAGTTCTCATAAGCAACTCATTACATGAACCAACAGAATACCAAAGACATCATTCACATAACTGAAACATACCAACAACGGCGATTTTAGTACCTAAATTACCCATCCTGCTCACCTGGGACAATCAACTTGAACATGACCTATTTGATTTCAAAGAAAGCAAACCCTTATTCCCTCAATTTCCAGTCCCGATTGAAATGACTCTCATGCTCACACCTGAATTACATCGATGCAACCACGACTATCTGGATCGTCCAATCGAATATCTAAAGCCTTAAATCCCTCAACTTTTGGTGGTGCTTGAACATGCATATGCTCTCTCGTCCCTTGTAGTGTCTCCAGCCCGGATTCTGAATTTTTATATCCGATCCTCATCGGAGACACCCACTTATCTTTAAAACTTGGTCAAAGACTCGATTCGCGACATGGTATTCACTCCTACCATTGAACCAACAAAACAATTAAAACCCATTTGAAACATCCCAAAAATATGACAAAAAAAAATCTTTTTCAAATCATTATTTAAATCATAAACCATCCAAATTCATAAGTAAAATCATAAATCATGTATCATAAAACATCATAGCATCTGTCTCAAATCAAAATCTCATAACAAACATCAGAGTAAACTCCCAGGCTAAAGATTGTGGTGTGTGCCATGCGATCATCCCGAGCCCTTCCCTTTGCTAGTGGAAGTACCTGAAACCAAAACTGAAACCGTAAGCACAAAGCTTAGTGAGCTTCCCCAAACTACCACATACGATACACGTATAATACACAACTAAGAGATATGGGTCCCGCCCACACTCAGCTAACTAGGAGATACGGGCCCCGCCCACACTCCGCAGACTCTGAGATACGGGCCCCGCCCACACTCAGCTACTTCGAGATACGAGCCCCACCCACACTCGACTACTATGAGATACGGGCCCCGCCCACACTCAACCGCTGCGAGATACGGGCCCCGCCCACACTCAGCTACTAAACGAACATACAAGTATCACACAAACAACAAGTATAACTAAGTCTATCAGTCAAGCATATATCTGTGAACAATCTAAACTGTGAGATACGGGCCCCGCCCACACTCGGCTACTATGAGATACGGGCCTCGCCCACACTCATCTACTAACATATCAAACTACGGGCCGGCCTTGGTGCCTTAGACTCGTTCCTACTGGAGAGAAACTCACCTCGTACGACTGACTGCTGGAAACACGAGTAAGGAATCCCTGTCTGCTGCTCCGACGACTCTCCGACTATCAAATCCATAATAACAATTAATCAAAAATCTGATAATCCTTCTTAGGGTAAAATGACCATTTTACCCCTGGTCAAAGTCCACATCCTGGTCAAGGTCAATCTTCCAGGTTGACCTAACTCGTCGAGTTCCCAAACTAACCATCGTCGCGACTAAACGAACTGACTCGTCGAGTCGTCCTCAAACTCGCCGAGTCCTAGCATAATCAGAAAAAGGACAAAATCATACTACTCGCCGAGTTCCTATGAACATCATCGGGGTTTCTTCATCGTACTCGCCGGGTTCCCCCTTATGAACTCGTCGATTCCCTTGCCGATCTAACCTAGATAACTGGTTTCACACTTCTACAACTCCAAATTACAGATCTATGTCGTTTCCAAGGCCCTTTTCTATAAAGTTGGAGACTTGATGGCTTTGCACACCTCAAATGGACCCAAACTCGAGTTATAGCAACCTACTTTCATAAATATGGCCATGGCATTCAAGCTTCCTTTTATGACCCTAGAGGCTAAATACTATAGGAAGAAGGGCTTACTTTGCATAGAACCCATATAAGCTAACTCATCCTTCTAAAAAGGGTCAAAAGACCCAAAAACTCAACATACAAAGAGATCTAAGCTATAGTTCACCAAGCTAAGAGCTTTTTTACCTTAGAAAGCTACCAAAGATGAGTGTGTTCCTGGATATTGTTCTCTTTCCCCAAGCTTGTTAGCTCCAAGCTCTTGCAACTACCTTCAATGGCACCAAAATACACTTAAAAACTCAAGGAAGAGGCTCTCTAACGAACTAGGGTTTTCTGGGGGATAGGGAGGCTGATAAGGGAGGCCCAAAGGGGGTTTAAGATGTTTAAATAGGGTGCAAAACCCCGAAAATAGGGTTTCCCCCTGGCAGACCTACTCGTCGAGTCCATGCTTGGACTCGCCGAGTAGACTCTTTAAATCCCGCGTCCATTCTGCCATCTACTCGACGAGTTAGGGCTACCAAATCGTCGAGTAGCTCAACTAATTACCCGAATAATTTAGATAATTGCGTACCAGGAACGGGGCGTTACACCATTGTTGTAAGACGAATAACCCTTCACAACAAGTCGAAACTTGCCTCCTAACATAGAAACTGGTGCGGAAAACACCTTCCCTTTAATCTATCTAATGACTGTTGAAAGTCTGATCTCTCCTCTCCTTAAACACTTGCGACAAAGATATAAAAGCGTCACAACCAATGATAACTCAAGTCATCGACTGACCAGCGTTAACAAGGACTGCAATCCCCATGACGACTGTCATTAACACTTTTTTCTTGAGTCCTATAACTCAATATGATAACACTACGGATAAAACCCTAGAGACTTCAAAATCAACCAACTCGTGCAAATCTGCAACACTCAAACTCAAACCATTATGGCCACTAAGGCCAAACCATAACCGAGATCATCCTCATCCTGCCTAACCATAACCACACTATTTACTTTCAACTAGCTCCTTAGTAACCCTTTGACTCTTCCTGATCCCTGTACGGATCTTGTGCTTTTAGTAGTACAAGTTCATACTACCTTCCACAACTACTCGTACTCGTCCCAAGAATTATCTCAAGGTTTCCAAGTCACTACACACTACCACTACTAAACGTTCTAATCACATGCACACGTGTTCAACGAACACACACACACAACAATAATCTTCCTAGATTCTCCTTTTAGGATTCCTCTTAGAAAAATGCCCACACTACCACATTATAACACTTTTGTTAGGTCATTAGGAATCCCTCCCCACCCTGCTATCAGCTGCGGAATAAACTTCTACTAATGTCAACTAACTATATTACGAATTCAATTGCATGCAAAAAATATTAATCATTCTTTCAACTAAAAGATCTTGCACTACAATGGTTAGACTCTGACGAGAGCTGCGCAATAGAGCCGAATCAAGCACTCTAAAACTATTTAATTTTTGTGACATGTAACTTAAC